TTTCAAAGAGAAGTTTACGTGATGAGAGGTGAAGACTACACTTACCTGTGGATAGATATGAAGGCAGATGTTCAGATTGTTGTTAGGGATTATGCTGGTTTAGTAAAGTGGTGCTTATAGGTTCTTCTCCAAGACCCATGACTTCACTAGCCCTGGGTAGTTAGCTAGAACCAAGTAATGTATCAGCCTCATTTGTATAGGCATTACATATGTTCACCCTCAGTATGACATGTCAGAATTTTGTGTTTTTTTCTTTAACTCAATATTAAAGTGCCTTTTGGTTTTTCATGATTTAATGTCAATACACTCTTGAAATACTAATGATCTACATTTATTTTTAATTATTTGACTTTTTAGCTACTTTATAGATGAGACACTTTGTTTTTAGTCTTCTGTTTATAAAATCTGACTGTAAAAGTAGAAGTTTTTTTTATTTTTTAAAGCTGATTATTATTGGCTTTTTACAAACTATAGTTTGTAATTAATTTTTATAAAGTATTTTATCAGTCTTTGACTTTTTTTGTGATTAATCCTTATTTTGGGTCACCTGTATTTTCACCCTTCTTACATAGCAGTCATTTCAGATACATAAATTTGTTTTCTCTAGTGTCTGTCATACAAGTAGAAACCTTCTTACTTGGACTTTGCAAGATTTTAGCTATGTTTCTAAATCTGTAACCTCAACATGGAGTCCAGAGTCATATCTTCCTCAAGAAAATGGAGGAATCTTGGTCAATAATTTGGGTTGATAAATGTGAAATCTCTGAACCCTTAATGAAGTATATTAACACATTGGTTTCTTTTTGAAATAGGCATGTGGAAGTTCAGGTGTTTGGTGATCACCATGGCAATGCAGTGTACTTGTTTGAAAGAGACTGTAGTGTGCAGAGGAGACATCAGAAGATCATTGAGGAGGCCCCAGCGGTAAGGAAACTGAAAGGACATTTCTGAGATTCTCTTGAGCATCTTATAATAAACCTTATTCAATCTTATTTTCACATCTGATCTGTAAAGCTAACATCTCCCATCCCTAGTATCTGACTCGTAATGCAATGATGAGACTTTGGTACAGAGCCGAGGACCCATGAGGGTTGGGGGATAATGTGTGTGTCAGGGTGGTTATTGTTCTGGGGCCAGACACAGGTGAGCCATGTTCCTTCTGGTGCAAGTATCTGACTAAGAGTTAGCAACTGAACAGTGATGTTAGAGCACTCAGTTTAAACTAATTAAGTAGACTAACTCCATGAATAAAGTGGAATGATCTGGTTAGTCGGACGTCTCTCTCATAGAGAAGACTTGTTTTAACCACTGTTTGAGCATGTTCCCAAACTGTATTAGTCACCTTCTTGCCCAATAGTTACCTTGTGGAGGAAATGCAGTTACTATTTGACAACTTCCCCTTAATACTGTTTCCATTCCTTAGTTTGCTCAGGTTGCTAAGAGGGTCAAAGCCAGGGCTTCCTATTTTGGGGTTTATATTTCTGTGGAGCTTACAACTGCCATTGGTGAGATATGTGTTGTGGTATTTCTGAAACATCAGGGGTCTGAGGTTTCTAGTTAACTAGTTTGTTTTTACACTATTCAAACTAGAATTTTGGTTGCAGAATGTATTATATATTTGAAGTACCTGTGGACAACTTCAGTAAAACTTAATTTTTAAGCAGTGATTAGATGTCTGATTGTAGAACATTGTTTTAAACTGCCTGTAGAAGCAAGTGGTATCAGATTCCCTAGGGTTTCCCTACAGGTTGTGATACAGGTTCTGGCAAGCAAACTCTAGCCCTCTGTTGACCCCCCTTTCCAGTTTCATAGTGATCAATTTTGTTTCATTTTGTTTTGTGTTTTTGAAACAGAGTTTCTCTGTGTAGCTTTGGAGCCTGTCCTGGAATTTGCTATGTAGACCAGGCTGGCATGGAACTCACAGAGATCCACCTGCCTCTGCCTCCCAAGTTCTGGGATTAAAGGAATGCACCACCACCGCCTGGTCAATACTGATCTTTTTTCATATATAGTTATGAAGGTTGTTATGCAAATACAAGGGATAAAGATATGTAATTGTATTGAGTGATATCTGTGGTTTGGACATTACTAGCAGAAGCATTCAGCTTTGGTATATTGACAAATATTTGTTGTATTATCTTTAATATACACTATTATCTAATGTACATTTTAATTATTTTTGCATTCTGATGGAAATCTATAGAGATCAAGTACTAATGGAAATTATTTTTAATGTCTTCTTGTAGCCTGGTATTAATCCTGAAGTAAGAAGAAAGCTGGGGGAGGCCGCAGTCAGGGCTGCTCAGGCTGTCAAGTATGTGGGAGCTGGTATGTTAAAATTTTCTTGCAAAAATTATATTTGTTTCATGAGATAAGAGGGGCATAGATGTTTTTACTGTAACTACAGTAAGAAATACACTCTTAAGGAACAAGCATTTCCTAATCAGTACTTTGCCTAATCAGATATGTGGATGTTTGATACTCCTATTCTATTTCAAAATAAAATGAATAAATTGTTTTTCTCTTTTAAAATCACTAATTTATTTTTAGAGCATAGTTTTTGTTTTTGTTTGTTTACAGAGCTAAGAATTGAAGCCAGGGCCTCACATATGCCAGGAAATAGCTTACCCATGGAGATACATCCCGAAGTCTTTCAGAGCAGTTTTCAGATCACAGCAAAACTGAACAGAAAGCTGGAGTTAGCATCCCTGGACCAGAGTCATATCTTGTGTGAACCTGCAGGGCTCACATCATACCCTAATCTGTGTTATTTACTCTAGTCCATAGTTTAGAGCAGTGGTTCTCAACCTTTCCACTGCAGTGACCCTTTAGTACAGTTCCTCATGTCGTGGTGGCCCCAACCATAAAATTATTTTGTTGCTACTTCATAACTGTAATTTTACTCTTGTTCTAAACCATAATGTAAATATCTGATGTGTAGGATATCTGATATGTGACCTCTGTGAAAGGGCATTCCAACCCCAAAGGGGTCATGACCCACAGGTTGAGAACAGCTAGTTTCAGGCTTATCCTTAGTATTATATGTGCTATGAGTTTTGACAAATGTGTAATGATATGTACTCTTGCATTGATAGTATGATACACAATAGTTTCACTGACACAAACATCTTCTCTGTTCTTCCTCAGCCCTAAACACTGGCAGCCATCAATCTTTATACTGCCTTCGTGGTTTACCTGAGTAAGAATTTAAATAGTTGAAACATACAGTGTGAAACCTTTTCACTTAGTAGTCTATATTTAACTTTCCCCCATGTCATCTCACAGTTTGATATTCATTTCTTATTGTTCTAAATAGTACTCCATGTCTGTATAACTTATCCATTCATAAGCTTGGTTGCTTCCAACTTTTGGCAATTACAGATAAAGTTACTTTAAATATCCACACACAGAATTTGGTGTGGACATTACTTTTCATTTCATTTGTATAAACACAAAGAATTGTAATTGTTAGATCAAGTGGTATGAAGGTTTATTCTGAAAGAAACTGTCAAACTGTCTTCCAAAATGTACCATGTTTACATTCCCATCAACAATGAATAGTCCCTGCTCCAAATCCCCTGCAGCATTTTGTGTTGTCAGTTATACTGATCAGTTTTTGTTTTCATGTCACAAACTAGAGTCACCTGGAAAAAGGGAACCCCAGCAGAGGAATTGCCTCCATCAGATTGTCCTAAGCACATGTCTATGGGACATTTTCTTGATTAATGATTGACATAGGATTGCCCAGCCCCCTGGGTGATACCACCCCAGAGTAGGCCATCGTGGATTATTTAAAAAAGCAAGGAGGTCAGTTGGAAATCAGAAGTAAACATTTTCAGCCCTAGCTGAGCAAATCTTTAATGACCTCTGGAGAGAGCACAGCCCCTTTGTTACTTGTTCTTTTCTTGAGTTTTGCTCACCTGCCAATCAAAGGGTGTGTTTTGTGAGGAGATCCAGCTATTAATCACTCTGTGTTGCCCCACTGCTTTTTGTTTTCTATTCATTTTAAGGCAGAGCTGACACCTCTGGCACCTTCTTTGATGGTGTGGTGGTTTGAGTGAGAATGTCCCCCATAGGCTCAGATGTTTGATTACTTGGTCCCCAGTTGGTGGTACTGTTTGGTTAGAAAATGTGGCCTTGCTGGAGGAAGTATGTCACTGAGGGCAGGCTTTCAAGTTTCAAAGCCTTGTGCCATTCCAAGTGCACGCTCTGTTTCACACTTGTGGTTCTGGATGTGACCCTTCATCTTCCTGATCCAGCCATCATACTTGCCACCTTCACCCTCTGGAACCATAAGCCCAGATAAGCCCTTTTTTTCTGTAAAGTGCCTTGGTCATGGTGTTTGTCACAGCAACAGAAAAGTACCTAGTGCAGATGGAGTGGGGGAGAGCATGCTATGATGGTTTTAAGTCAGTCACCCACTGACTAGATCTCACTAGAGCTCTTACCCCTCTGATATTCCAAAACGTAGCTCCCATTTTTATCCTGCAGCCACGTGCCCTCTTTCCCAACCTTTGTTCCTTACAATGCAGACCAGCTTTCCCCAGCACAGAGCCATCAGCAGTTTCACTTCAGATCCTTCCCTCTTCTCAAACTAGCTCTGAAGGCTCATGCCCAGCATGTGTGCATAACCTAAGCTGTGGGTTCCTTGATACAGAAAAATGTTAGGACCTTTGACCCTTAAGCCAATAAGCTCAGACAAGGTATTCTCAAGACAACCCTAGTGATAGTGCATTGCGGAATTTCCTGTCTCGGGCTGTTCTAGGTCTCAAGTGTACATCGGCTGCCTTTCCTCCCAGTGCTGGGGCATGCTAACTGTGCCTTCTTGGCCAGTCCTTCATTTGTCACCTTTGCCATAGCCTCAGATGCATTGTGGCATGCATATTTGCCTGAAGTGCCTTTCCTCAGCCTTTACTCTCCGAAGCTTCTGGGTTTTGTCAACTGTTGACAACAAAACTTCAGTACCTTCCCAGAGTCACATCTCCAAGAAAACTGCTCCCTGGTTGTTTTGATTCTATTCCTTAAGAAGTGGGTGATTATGCACTTCTCATTTCTGTTTCTTAAGATTGTTAAGGAGATATCTGTAGCCCAGAACATGGCCATTCTAAATGACGAATCATTGCAAGCTTGAGAATGTATTCTATTGTTATAGTCCATAGATAACAATAACATCTAGTTGACTGATGGTGCAGTTGAGTTAAGTATATCCTTACTAATTATCTGCTTGCCTAATCTGATAAAATATTACCATTTTTCGACTACTGTGACAAATTCATCTATTTCTCCTTGTTCTCAGTTTTTGCCACATGTGTTTTGATATTGTTACATATTTTTTAAGAATTATCATATTTATATTTTTGTCTTTATATATATGCATATATACATATGCATATATATGTATACATTATATATAATATATATTATTATTATTATTATTATTATTATTATTTTGAGACATTTTGTAACAGTCCTGGCTGTACTGGAACTGGCTCTGTAGACCAGGCTGGCCTCAAACTCACAGAGATCTGCCTGCCTCTGCCTCCTGAGTGCTGGGATTAAAGGCATGCACCATCACTGTCTGGCTCGCCTTTATATTATTATTCATCCATGATAACATTCTTTCCTCTAGAGTGTGTGTGATCTGTCTGAAGTAGCCAATCCTTTTTTCTTTATTATTTGTATGAAGTTTCTTTCTTTTATACTTTTCCTTTAAATCAGTTAAATCTTCACATTAAAAAGGAGTTTCTTATAGACAATATAACGTTGGGCCTTTTATTTTTTATCTTTTACAGACTTTCTTTTATTTGGTATGAAACTATTGACATTTAAATGTCTTCCATGCTGGCCATTGTTTTCCATTTAATCCCTTTGTCCAATCTTACTTTTGTCTTTTACTCATTTTCTTCCATTCATGTTTTTTTCCCCTGCTCAGTTCTATTACTTTCATGGTTTTAATTGAGCATTTTATGATTCCCATTTTTTTCCTTAACATCACTTAGTAGCCCTAAGATTCATAATAATATGCATTCAAATAATCCTAGCCTACTATCAAGTGACAGTCTTGGGATAGTGAGATGCACTTGTCATCCAGGGCTGACCATCTGAGCTCAATCCCCAGAATCCATAGTGGAAGGAGAGAACTGACTCCCAGAAGTTGTCCTCTGATCACCACATGTGTGCCATGTATGTATCATAGACACACACAGTGATAGACACACTATAAATAAAGTTTTCAAACTTTTAAAAAGTGTTATTTCATGTCATAAACATGGCCACTTATAATAACAATTAGATATCTCTAATATCTCCTTTTTGTCCCTTCTTTATTGCTGCCATGCTCTTCGTTTCTATGTAAGCACATATATGGAGACATACATAATCATGTTTACTGTTTCTGTTATTTAAACTGTTTGTTAAATCAACTATCACGCAATTAAAACAAATTAATTAGGACTTCATTCTATTTTAGCCTATTTATTTTCTGATGGTATTCCTTTATATTTCTTACAAGGCTGGTACATGATTGTATTCATTTGACAAATATCAGCTCACCTATACTTAAAATAATTAAAGTATTATATAAAATTAAATCTAATAAAACTGAACAATGTTTGCCATCTCCAGTACTACTAAAAAATATACTAGAGGAAGTATTTCAGATCTTAATAGACTACCAATAGACTTGGATTGGCATGCAGCTTAGATACTAAACAGCTGAAAAGTCTTTCAGTGTGTCCCTATCAAGGACTTTCGTAACACACAAAAATAAAAGATCCAGAGACAGATATTAGAGTTCAAGCTCTAAGCTGAAGATCAGAGAAGCAAAGCAGCCAAGCCAGTAGATCTCATCTCTACCCAGGTGAAATGGCAATCCTATCTCCACAAATCCTCAGATGCAAAAGGCTCTCAGATCTTGTCTTCTCCTCCTTATATTCCTTTCTGTGCCCTGCCATATCCTCCTGTCTCCACCTTCCTGGTTCTGGGATTAAAGGCGTGTGATCTCAGCACAAAAGGTGCTGAGATCACTTTTGTGTGAGCTGTTTCTTTTAGGACTGGATCAATTTTGTGTACTCAGTGTGACCTTGAACTAACAGAGATTCGTCTACCTCTTAATCCTGAGTCTTGGGATTAAAGGTGTGTAGCACCACTGTTTAGCTTCAGTAGTGTGGCTGCTTTGCTCTTTTGATCTCCAGTGGCTTTAGTAAATCATAAACAATATATTACCACAGACTTTTCTTATTTGGAGTGGGGAACAATACTTAGGGCCCAGTGTATCTGAGGTAAAAGATCTACCATGCAGCCCATCCTCACAAGGACTTTAAGAGGGTACCACAGGGATCAGGGGGAAGAGTCAGTCTTTGTCCAGAGCTCAGGTTAAGTGGGACTTCATGGTATGAGGTTCTAGGCTAGGGAAGCTGGGACAGTAGCTCAGAGTTCAAACATTTTCTTATTTTCTATAGCAGATAAGACTGGTACATAATTTGGGCTCAACATTTGCTCAGAATTCCAAAGATATGTTCCATTACTACATTTCATACAGTTCTCTATTTTAAACTGAGACTCATTTGCTGTGCAAAATAGGGCCTTTTCTTCACGAAATACAAATCATATACCATAAATGAGATATGCAGTGGTAAAACTCAATGTGCTACATCATAGAAAATCTTTTTAATGAATTTTTTAAAATTATATTTTTACTTTTCTATGTGCATGGGTGTTTTGCCTGTGTACATCCTGTGTACCATTCCTGTGGAGGTCAGAAGCGTGCATCAGATGTCTGTTAGTCACCATGTGGGTGCTGGGAACCAAACCTGTAGAGGAGGAGGTCTAGTGCTCAGCTGCTGAGACATCTCCAGCTCCCACCGTAGGAAATTTTGATTTACTGCTGATTATATACCATTGAAGTGTGACAACTGTGTTTTACCTCCTAGGAACTGTGGAATTCATTATGGACTCAAAGCACAATTTTTATTTCATGGAGATGAATACAAGACTACAAGTGGAACATCCTGTCACTGAAATGATCACTGGAACTGACTTGGTGGAATGGCAGTTCAGGGTGAGGATGTTTTTCCTACTAAAGATCAGTCTTGGGCTATGGATGTAGCTTAGTGGTAGAGTGCTTGCCTAGCACAAGTGATGCTTGGGTTCAGTTCCCAGCCCTACCAGAAATCAGATCAGTGTTGAGAATACATTACATTGTAGACTCCTTTTATGCTACTTTGGGTATGACTCACTTTTGTGGTTGGGATAGGACAGGAAACTGGAATATTGAAAAAACAAAAACAAAAAAATGGCTGGGCAGTGGTGGTGCATGCCTTCATCTCGGCACTTGGGGAGTTGGGAATGAAGGGCGAGGGGCATGGTCTTCTGGCAATAGAGTGATCCATTGAAAGTACATTTGCAGACTGCTGTCAACCCATGAGTAAGTTCATCTGTAGTAACCATTCACATCCAGTGTTCAGAAGGTGTAGTTTTTGACACTGTTGATGTTTCTACTACTACTATTACTACTACTACTACTACTACTACTACTACTACTACTACTACTAAACACACACACACACACACACACACACACACCTGTAACTGTTCTAATAATATGAAAGTATTTAGTATGAAGATTCTTATTTCCATAGAATTCTTGGCTTATTTTATGTATGGAGTCCATGTTATTTTTCCCATATTTCATGATGAACTCATGACATATGGATAACTTTGTCTTTTCAAAGCTTCTTTGGGAAATATTGTCATGTTTCTTTGGTGAATGATTGGTGGATCAAATTGAACCAAAGGATTCTTAGGGATCTATCTGTAGCATTGGAAAGTGGAGAAAACCAGGCACAATGAGCTACTAAACATTAATAGTGTCAGAGAAAACTACCAAGAGTGTTTGTTTCTAAATTTAAGAATAGGGGTGCTCCTCCAAGTAGTAACCACGTGATCCCTTGAGCTGCTTGCAGCTGAAGGCACTTATGAATGTGGCCCAACAAGAAATTGTAGTTACAACTTCATTTCAAAGTTCTCAAGCATGAACTTTGTAGACGCTATCATGTTGCATTGTCAGAATGTTGGACACCCAATAGGACTTTAAAATCATGGAGGAATTATGTTCCTGAGCATTTAGAAATAAGAAGGAAAAGCAGAGATATTTTTTTCTGGATCTCGGGAAGTTGCAGGAGCTTCAGAAAAGGAAATGTGTTTTATCATCCAAGGCCATATTCCAGAAATGCAGGGACTGGGGCTGACGTAGAGTCATGCCAATGCAACCTGGACAGATGATGAGTCAAGATTGTGAGCTCCAGGCCTGCCTCTAGATTCAAAGACTTCCTAAAAAGAGGGTTCAGGCTCTTGGCTCTCCTTTTTGTCTTCCTCTCTCTTGCCTTTCTCATGGCCGGTCTAGTCTGCTAGCCATGCTTAGTCTACTCCTTTCTCTCTCTGGATTCTTCCAGATGCCACTGGCTGAACTCTCCCTCATATCTACAATAAAACCTTTCCCTCAACCATAAAAAAGAGGGGTCAGTGGTTCAAACAGCTGAGTTCAGGTTACAGTACAGATGGCCAGTAGGGCCCAGGATACTAGGGGAATCTTTAAGGCTTTCAGATGCTTAGTGTCTATCTGAAAGTGGAAGTGGCACAGAATTCCTAACCTGAAGGTGTAGTTAGAGGACCAGTCTCTCTTGGGCTCAGATGGGCAGCCAGTGTCAGGAAAAAAAAAAAAAAAAAAAAAAAAAAAAAGGCCAGGAAAGATAAGCTGGTTTGAAAATGGTCTGTATAATAAGAAATATGATTATATCCTGGAACATGACCAATACTTTCTTCTTTTGCATGTGAAGACAATTAGAACTCTACTTGTACATCAAGAAGAGTTTCCTTTTGAAAGGATATCAGTAAAGATTTCTGTGGTGCTTACTGTAGGCAGGCACTGAATACAAAAGCTTGAGAAATATCCCTCAATTGTGGGATATTGGAACCCAGGAGTTATAGGTGCAGAGACTACTTTGGAACACTATAAACACATTTAATTTAGGTATTTCTACTTTAGTTGTGTGCTGGTTCCTGGCCCTTCTGTTTGCAGGTTTGGAAGGATGTCCTCATCTCTGTTGTGTGCTTACCTTTTCAATTTACTCATACTAAGTTAGTCTTTTCTCCTGTGTCTATATTGCTTTTGTGAGTTGTTATTATTATTTTATTTTTTATTTTTTTATTTATTTACTTTTTTTGGTTTTTCGAGACAGGGTTTCTCTGTGGCTTTGGAGGCTGTCCTGGAACTAGCTCTTGTAGACCAGGCTGGTCTCGAACTCATAGAGATCCTCCTGCCTCTGCCTCCCAAGTGCTGGGATTAAAGGCGTGCGCCACCAACACCCTATTATTTTAATCCTGGGGAAAAACTTGAAGAGAGGAAGTGTCCACATATCATCTATTACAGCATTTTTCTACCTGTGGGTCACCACAACATAAGGAACTGTGTTAAAGGGTTGTAGGGTTAGGAAGGTTGAGAACCACTGCACTATTAGCTTTTTCCAATTCATACTAATTGGAGAGTAAAGCTTATTAAGTTGGTATATAAGAGCCAAAATGATAAGTATGATGGTAACAATGACATAGGTCTGCAGCTTGTGATCTGGGTTACACGAACACCTTGTTCTTCTTTTTGCCTTACTCTATCACTCGCTTGCTGGTGACAATAGTGTAGACAGGCCATTCACAGCTTTCTTCATTGGTATAATTCCAGACACCAAGTGAAAATATAAAGATGGTCGGGGAACTGAATATTATATTGCAAATGTAAACATTGTCTTACCAGCCAGAAAGTTAGGTTTTCGTGGTATTTAACACTGATTTTTATACTTAGAAATTAGGCTTCTCCACTTTAAAACTGATAATTAGCAGAGTCCATGATAATTAGCAGATTTTCCCCAAGCTGACTCTGTTTCTTGATGTATCACTCAAGGGGCTGGACAGCACCATTTTTATGTGACTGCTTTATGGGACCCAGATGTCCATTTTGACAGGGTAGCCGGACCACCGACCTGAGTCTGTTAGGAACTCTAATGTGCATTTTCATGAGAGGCACTGTTTTGTTACCAGATTGCAGCAGGAGAGAAGATTCCCTTGAGCCAGGAAGAAATCCCTCTGCAGGGCCATGCCTTTGAGGCGAGAATATATGCAGAGGACCCTGACAATAACTTCATGCCAGGGGCCGGACCATTGGTTCACCTCTCTACCCCTCAGGCAGATGTGTCCACAAGGATTGAAACTGGAGTACGGCAAGGTAACATTAAATGAAATTAGAGCTGTCGCTGTACTTAAACTCTCAGTTAGTCTGTCTTCTCTAAGATGAGGCCATACTGTGTTGCTCAGACTGAACTTAAACTCCTGGGCTCAAGTGAGTGTCCTGCCTTTACCTGCCAATGAGCTAGAACTATGGATTTCACCACCATACCCAGATTTAACTGCATTATCGAGTGTGTGTGTGTGTGTGTGTGTGTGTGTGTGTGTGTGGTACATTTTATTTAATGAATTACTTTGTGGGGTTTGGTGGATTGGTATATGTGTGCCAAGGTGTGCATATGTAGGCCCCAGGACAACATACAGGAATGGTCTCTCTCTTACCTTATGGGCCCGGAAGATTGAAGGTTTGGAAGCTAAGAGTAGAAATAAGTTTAATGTGAGAGGGTAGGGCTTTGCCTTGACCTTCAAAGAGAGAAAGGAAAAGAAGACAGGCTGAAGAAAGCCACCCCATGTGTCACTGAATCACATGATAAAGCGTGGTACTGAGGAGATCGATCCTCAGTCCGTAAGGCTAAGGTTTCTTTATTCAGATAAACACCAGCCAAGCGCAAGCCAAAGTGTGCCAGGGGCAGCAAGGCAGCCAGGCCAGAGAGAAGGAAGAAGGGGCTCTCCATGTGTGCGCAGTCCCTTAAGAGCCGTTCCCGAATCACCTTAGACTTCCCCTCACCACGCCCTCACGGGCGTGTCCCAGCACACCTGTCCAGGCTACTAGGAGGCAGGGCTACAGTGTCTCCCTACATGGTACTCTCCGTGTCTAATCCTTTTAGATTTTGGACAAGTATTTAGATCCATCTGAGCCTTGGTTTCCTGAAAAATAAAATTGTGCTAAGGGCGCCTGCCATGCAGGAGTTGGTGAGTGTGAGCATGACATGACAGGGAGAATGTCTTTCTCTGCCCTGCTTCATCCCTCAGTTGTGACATTGACCGGTTACCATGTTTCTCAATTCCAGGAGATGAAGTCTCAGTGCATTATGACCCCATGATTGCAAAGCTTGTTGTATGGGCCGCAGATCGCCCGTCAGCCCTGTCGAAACTGAGGTACAGCCTTCATCAGTACAATGTGAGTGAGCTGAGGCCAGTGCTGAGGCCCGTTGTCAGCAGAGTCAACCTTTGTCTTCATCAGAGGCTGGTGCTGTCACCTATTCCCGAATTCCGATATGTCAGGCACAAAACAGTTCTTCACAGGGAAAGTCCCAAAGGGCGAGGTTAGGCTTTGAGTGCATCCTTGTTTCAGTTGGGAAGAAAAGAATTGTAGAAATAAAACTGTTAATGTCAGTACTACATTCTAGTGAAATCGTAGTCATCTATAAATAAGGCCAACTATAGGAGTGAATGTAGTCCATTTTCTTAAAAAAAAATGCAATCTTCATTTTCATCTGACTATTTTTCTGTATCACATCAATTTTCTTCTTGTAAAAGTCCCAACTGCATTAATTTCACTTCATAGTAGGATTTTAAAATTATTGTGTGTTATTAATCTGCATCAATTTCTGTGACTCTCAACATTGATTCTACTTGCTGTCCCTTCAGTGCCCCAGCATGGAGAAGTGCTCTTGCCTCCCCTGTAGAGTGTCTTTACCTTGTGCTGTCTGCTGACTGTCCTCTGTCCTGCTCACTACCTCAGACTCCATCTCCAGTTGTTCCATGTAGAGCAGGACACTTGGATGTTTGTTCTCTGTCACCTTGGCCTGCCTTAGTCTCTGTCACAGCCTTTGGAAGGCAGGGCTGCATCTGTTTTGTCTCTCACTGTCCCCAGAGCCTGTGTCAGATCCTGGTACCTAAAAATGCTCAGGGAATGAAATAATTTTAGTCCTTTGATTATTTTTTTGAGGGGAGGTTAATTAGGATTGATGTTAACTTCTTTTTTTAAATTTTTATATTCATGTATAAACTTTGGATTTTAGTGTTGGAAGGGAGTTCCTTTCAAGCTGTTTATTCTTGTTCCCTCTCCAATATCACAATCCTGCCTTCATTTGCAGTCATCCTATTTTGTGGAATGTTCTAAATAACAATTTTCAATCTCTTGAAAATAAATTTCATGTCTGTTTTTTTTTTTTTAACATTCATCGCTTTCCTAACCTGAGCCAATTAAATGTTTAACCTGAGCCAATTAAATATTCAACCTGAGCCAATTAAATATCCCTGCTGTACCACGTCCTTTATCCTGTTTCTCTTGTTAATCTGGATTTTGAAGCCTAAGTCTAGATATGCAGTGATAAGTCTGGTGACAGTAAGTGTGACCCCCTCTCCACATGACACCTTAGTAGGTCATAGAGCAGATGCTTTTCTGAATATGTTGTTTTCCATACTCAGCAGGACCCCGGGATTTCTTCTCTTCCTAGATTGTTGGCTTACGAACCAATGTGGACTTCCTGCTCCGGCTGTCTGGCCACCCAGAGTTCGAAGCTGGGAATGTGCACACTGACTTTATTCCTCAGCACCACGAGGAACTTCTGCCCACCCACAGCGTCATAGCCAAGGAGGCTGTGTGCCAGGCAGCTCTGGGGCTCATCCTCAAAGAGAGAGACATGACCAGCGCTTTCAGACTTCACACACAAGGTACAGAGCACACTCTTCTTCCCTCACAATGTCCTCTGAATCAGCAAGAAACAGTCTTCTCTTTGTGTGTGTCATTCTTGCCTTTCCTGCTTCCAGTGACTGGTCCCATTATCTGCAGATGTTTTCCAGTGTGGAATACACATATATCACAAATGCATATGTGAGCACTATTGAACTCAGTAAATGTAGTCAACTAATGACCTAACATAATAGAAACTGGTCTCTTTCTAGCCAAACACTATTTCTTTCTGTATCTTGTGCTGATCCTTGTTGACTTTGTGCATTTGTGGTTTGCTTCATTGTACCCACTGTACCTACAACAATGCCCTCGGTTGCCCAGAGTCTAAAGACAGAGCACAGGAGATTCAGATTCCATTGAGCTAGCCATGCTTCCTTGTTGAGTTTCTTCTTCCTCTCTTTTTCTGTCCTGTAATTAAATTTCTGTCTGAATAGAGAGGTCAGTCCTTCAGGGTGTCAGAAGATACACTCGGAAGGCTCTGTCCTGGTTTCTACACGTGTTTTCTTCCTCCAGCATGCTCTAGATGGTTGCCCAACCTCTTCCTGACAACTGGTTACCTCATAGGAGAGGGTATGATAGCTTCATTCAGCTCTGCATTGAAGGGTCTCTGTCTCTCTCTCTCTCCCCTCCCCCGAAACTAACACAAAATCTGTACTCTCAAACTTGTCCCCCCAATATTTACTCAGGATAGTGCTGAACATTGCATTATCTTTTATTATTAGAATTACTATATTAAATGTTTTAGTTTGGGTTTATTTTTATTTATGTGTATGGGTGTTTTGCTTCCATCTGGGACTGTGCTCCATATGCATGCAGTGCCCATCAAGGCCAGAAGAGGGCAGAAGAAACCCTAGGACTGGAGATGGTTATAAATTTCCATCTATCTGGGAATCCAGTATGGTCTCTCTGGAAGAGCACTTGCTGCTGCTTCTAGCCACTAAGCCATCCCGTTAGCTGCAGGATCTTATATGTTCCTACCTCCTATAGGATTCTGTTGTTAGCATCTTTGATTTTAGATTTTTTTCAAGATCATTATAATGAAACCTTAAAGAATACAACTATGTTTTTTAGATTTGTTTGCTCTGTTCTCACCCTGTTCCTTTACTAGTTTGTAAGTTTATATGGATCCCAGTTACAGGATCCACACTAGATGGCTTCAGTTTAGTTACAGTCTCTGGGCTGTATCTAGCAGAGTATGTACACCTCAGCAAATAGAGCTGGGCCAGTGACACAGACACCCAGGGAAAGGAAGACAGTGGATGGTAGAGACTGGGGCAGCAGAGTGGGGATCTCTGTGCCACCAGAAGACAAGAGCTACTTACAAATGCTTTAGATCTTTCCAGAGCAACTGGGACCTCTCATAGGAAAGTCTCAGATAGAAGTCATAGTGTCTACCTGGAATCTAAAATACTAAGACCTGAGCTGCCAATCAAGGACCCATGCTTATGTTCAATTTTGTAAAGTACACAGTTTTGGGGGCTTGATACTTGTAATTTTGTTGTTGCATTTTAAATTTTTTCTAGATCAATTCTCTCCGTTTTCATTCAGCAGTGGGAGAAGACTGAATATCTCTTACACCAGGAACATGACTCTGAGAAGTGGTAAAAGTGGTGAGTAATATTTCATTACAAGAGAAATATAGAGTGTAGAAACACAGCACATTAAACCAAAAAACTTCCAGCTCCGTCATGCTCAGTCAGCCATGAGTTTTTAAATGGAAAGTTGGGAGTTGATTGGCTTGGTGTCATGGTTAGTGGTGTACATTTTTTCCTCATTTTTATGCTTTTAAGTATTCTGAAAATATGCCATAAGACATACCTAGCAAACAACTGAAGTGAAATATGACAAAGTGTTAGTAAGGTGAGGTGTGATCTGAGGTGAGGCCTGTCTCCAGGGTGTGATCTGAGGTGAGGCCTGTCTCCAGGGTGTGATCTGAGGTAAGGTCTGTCTCCAGGGTGTGATCTGAGGTGAGGTCTGTCTCCAGGGTATGTTCTGAGGTGAGGCCTGTCTTCAGAGTGTGATCTGAGGTGAGGTCTGTCTCCAGAGTGTGATCTGAGGTGAGGCCTGTCTTCAGAGTGTGATCTGAGGTGAGGTCTGTCTCCAGGGTATGTTCTGAGGTGAGGCCTGTCTTCAGAGTGTGATCTGAGGTGAGGTCTGTCTCCAGGGTGTGATCTGAAGTGAGGCCTGTCTCCAGGGTGTGATCTGAGGTGAGGTCTGTCTCCAGGGTGTGATCTGAAGTGAGGCCTGTCTCCAGGGTGTGATCTGAGGTGAGGTCTGTCTCCAGAGAGTGATCTGAGGTGAGGTCTATTTCCAGGGTGTGATCTGAGGTGAGGTCTGTCTCCAGGGTGTGATCTGAGGTGAGGTCTGTCTCCAGGGTGTGATCTGAGGTGAGTCCTGTCTTCAGAGTGTGATCTGAGGTGAGGTCTATCTCCAGGGTGTGATCTGAGGTGAGGCCTGTCTCCAGAGTGTGATCTGAAGTGAAGCCTGTCTCCAGAGTGTTATCTGAGGTGAGACCTGTTTCCTCAGCTCTTTGTACTTTTATTGTTTTGCAGTTTTTCTGCTCTAAAAACATTGTTTTTAGATAAAAAAAAAAAAAAAAAAAAAAAAAAAAAATTAAAAAAAAACTATTCAAGACTGTTGGGGACAGAGGGTCACTCACTGTCCCTTGAGATTAATGTGGAATGGGTCACCAAAGAGCTGTCATTTAGTGTAAGTCTCATCATATGACTGTTTATCTTCACAACAACTTAATGAGGGGATCTAGGGAGTCACTGCTCATATGTGGATGCTGAACCCCAGAAAGTAGGGCGATTGGAGGCAGTCAGGGCAGAGCACCATGGATGTTCACTCCTTCTGATATGACTTTGTGCTTTTCCTAACACTTTTCCGTTGGGTAGTTCTGGTTTTTTTTGTTTTTGTTTTTGTTTTTGTTTTTGTTTGTGTTTTGTTTTGTTTTTAACTATGTACTACTTTGAGAAGGCTCAAAGTAAAGACTAACTTACTTTAACTAAAGTTAGAAGACAGTGGCACCTAAGCCAGAATTAACAAATCCTGACCAGGCAGGATACAGATGATCACAATCCCATGATAACCAGGCACCATCCCTTCTGCTACAGGACAGTCTATATGAGAAGCCAGAGTAGGTGAAGTATGTTGGACACGAGCATGTGAGGTGTCTCTGAGCTATGGCAGCTCTCATGAAAAGCAGGTTGCTAGCTAGAGTAGCTCCCTTCCAGTAGACCGGTCCCCTCTTCTCTGAGTAGAGAAGGACCCTTTTACTCTAGATATCATAGACATCAGTACTGTGTAGCCAATACTTCCTTCACAAAGTGATTGCATTGTGACCATTATGTCACTCATAGCCTGGATGGACATTGCTACAAATGTCCATCCAGGACATTTGGGTGCTCTCCAAGCCTTCACAAAGAAAGTTTGCAAACATCCCTGCTCTCTGTAGCATAACTGGTTACCTCCGAATTTGGGGCTGGAATGTTTATTTATATCATCCTATAAAGCAGCCTCCAAAATCTGAGGATGCCTTTTTAGCAACTCCTGCATGCTGAATGCACAGAGTAATCAGGAACATTGCAGTGGCCTTTCAACCTAAATTAAGCAGACAAACCACATATTCCACTGTGATTCAGATGAGACAACTGTGCTGTTTGGCATACTTCCACTACATATTGAATTGTGCTGAATTTTACTAGAATTAAAAATGTTTTAATTTAAAAAATGAATAAGTATGTAATTGAAAAGCCAACATTGATTGTTGTTCACTATATACTTTTAGTGTATAGTATAACTCACTGGAATGTTCTAAGGCATCTTTGAAAACTGCTAATGAGTAGTGACCAGGAGAGTATCCCAGACAGGAAGTTCCAATATGTGTCTGAGTCTAACGTAGAACCAATTGTCAGTCTTAATGAAAATGATCAAGTTCATGATTTGATTTATGACTTGAATTTTTATATATTATTTTGTTATTGTTGGCCATGTTTCACAGAACCCTGTGTTGGCTCTCAATAATAATAATAGTAAGCTTGAATGTTTTCAGATACAGTGTTAAACATTTTCCAGAGATTACCTCATTTGCATTTTTCAGAACAGGTCAATATGACTCATGGTCTTATTCATGTCACCTTTATTATCAACAATTAATCTTTCTCAGCCAAGGACAAAGTTCAGATGTCAGTAATTTTCCAAAGGTCATACAAAAATAATTCAAGCCAGAGTTCGACCCCACATTCTGAAGAATGTATGCTTATATAACACTACTCCCTGCTAAATTGCCATGCCTAATTAAATATATAACAGACTGTTTAAGATCTGTGGTAGGAAGCAAAATAAACTGGGGGAGGGAACAACAATTTCACTTTGTGAATACAGAATCAAACCTTTACTATAATTCTACTTGTATCAATGACACTTAAACACTTAATGTTTTGTAATGGAAAGAAAATTGATCTAATGTAATTGGAGGCATTTTCTCCTAAAAAAAATTTAAAGCTTGTTCATAATATGTAGGGTGGAGAATGTTCACCCATCCAGTGTAAAGCTTTTGAAAAGTTATGCTGATGTTGAGAAGACAGTTTCTGTGTGCGTGCGTGCGCGTGTGTGTCTAGGATTCTGCCACTAGGAAGAATGGTTGGAATGTGGGTGCTGTAGTATTTGAAGGTGCAGGGTTAATGGACTTTATTTGTGAACAATTTCAGCCTTGCAGTTTTTCTTTTTTGTTTTCAAAGAAAAGTTTCTTACAGATTGGGATAAAGAGAGAATCATAACTGTTTTATAAATAGAAGTCTATTATTGTTCAAATAGTGAGTTCAAAGACCCAGGCAGACACTCCCCAAGAACCTCAAACCTGGTGTAAATAAGTTTACACCACTGTGCTGTGAGGAGTATGGGGAAGGAGCAGCCATGAGCAGAGGCATATGGGAATGCAACTAGTCCCTTTCCATTTGCTTGGAGCCAAGCCACACAGGGGATAGGAAGAAAAAAAAGTTGAGAGTTTTGAGCCCTACATATTATGAACATGCTTTAAATATTTTTTAGGAGAAAATGTCTCCCATTACACTTTTATTCCCATTACAGAACATTAAGAGTATTTAAGTGACATGCAAGTAGAATTATAGTAAAGGTTTGATTCTAATTTCACAGAGTGAAATTGTTATTCCCTTCCCCAGTTTATTTTGTTTCCCATCACAGAATCTTAAACAGCTTGTTATACATTTAATAAGGCATGGGAATTTAGCAGGGTATAGTGCTATATAAGGCTACATTCCTCAGGGTGTGTGTGGGGTTGACCCTGGCTTGAATTATTTTTGTAATTCAAAGTTCCTGGTAATTGCAAATTACCAGGACAGTAATGTGGATATGGAAATGAAAGGGTTGTGGTGGGGAACAAGGAGAGTCCAGAAGATGTCTTCGGAGCCAGTCAGCCTAGGTCAGGTAGAACATCAGGAAGGCAAGGAAGAGACTCAGTGGACAGGTTTGGGAAGGAAAGAACTAGGCAACCAGGTGCTGGCCACTGGACATAGAACAACATAGTAGAAGGCAATGTTGAAAGGCTTCAAATCAGATGACAGGAGATTAGCTGGAGTTCATGAGTCAGAAGGGGACAATGGTGGGCCTAAAATGTTCATTTCAAGGTGTCAGCAGCACTCAGTTGGGCATAGCTAATGAGGGTTCTGGAGAAGATTAAGATTGAAAATGTTGGGGGTTGGAGAGATGGTTCAGAGGTTAAGCTCAGTGACTGATCTTCCCGAGGTCCTGAGTTCAATTCCCAACAACCACATGGTGGCTCACAACCATCTATAATGAGATCTGGTGCCTTTTTCTGGCATGTAGGCAGAACACTGTATACATAGTAAATAAATAAATCTTTAAAAAAAAGATTGAAAGTGTCCAGGTTGGAAGCATCCGACAATGGCCATGACTTTTGGAGTCCATGAAACAGCGTTAACGTGTACAGTTCTGGTCACAGAAATGTTTGTTGCTGGGATTGAACCCAGGCCTTGTAGACACTACACCAAAACACCTACACAAAACTGATTTCCAACTTGGAGAACAGTCTTCACTCAATTCCATATTCATGTGCAGCATGGATAATTTCTTACTCTTATGACCTGTTACAGTTTTAAAGCTCTTTCACATTTACCTAGCCATTGTTAACATTCCCATACCCATTTAATGGCTGGACAATGAAGGAGCATAGAAAGAGTGACTTAGCCAAGACCACAGAGGTAATTGGATGGAAAATTTGGGTCTCAAACCAGACCTTCTCTTTGCTAGTTGATTGCATTTCCTGCACTATTACTGTAGCTTTTGTGTGCAGGAGAAAATATGTAAAATATTAATTGTTCATTTTCAAAAGAGAAAGGCTTGCCAATCTACCTGTGCTAAGGAAAACATTGTTTCTCCTGGAGTTAAGATGTTGCCTTTTCTTGGGATAGCCAAATAAGGTAGAGTTTGAAAGGGAGAATTTCATCATCTCCATTGTTTACATAATGTTTTCTCTCTTTTTTTTCCTTCAATGTTTCCCTTGTTCCATAAAGATGTAGTCGTAGCTGTGACGTATAACCATGATGGGTCATATGACATGCAGGTAAGCCTTGTTGGTTCTGGTCTGTAGCTCAGAGCCAAATCCTGTCTTTCTTATACTAAGTAGGGTTGATTTTCCTTCTCAAGTTATCCTTAAGCCTTTGACCATTGTAATTGTAATGAGAATGCCATGTGCTTTTATTTCAGAGCAGGTTGAGGGACTCATCTCTGTATTGTTTCTAACTTGTTTACTCAGTTTGGCTATGGTCTCCTTAAGCATACAAACTTAGCAAAAAGAGGAATCAGTCCCTGAAGACTCAGGGATTCTAACTCTGCTGAGATCGCTGGACTATTCCAGCCCCCACTGAGTGCAGAGGTGAGCTGCTTTGGCCCCTGCCTTGGGCCCAACTTCTGCCTGCCCACTATGGGAACTCCTGCCCAGGGGTCTGCAGGCAGATCGACTTGGCCACTGAGGACCAAGCAACCCAGAGTCTGCTGACATCTCTGCGCCAGTCCTGCTCTTGCCCATCTGGAGAGCTAGTGCCTCAGATGTGCCTGCACCACCTTGAGACCCATCAGAGTATCAGAACCAATTGCACCCACCTGAAGAGAACCCCTGACCCATACACACCAGGAAAGGAAGTGAAACCACCTGCACCCACTGGAAGAAGAGATGGGAAGACCACAATATAAGAACACATCCGACGCAGCTGGGAGACTCTGCAGGATCCGCGCCCGGAGCATCTGCGCGGTGAACAATTCAAGTCTTCGATTTAAAAAAAAAAATGGCCTCCAATAAAACTACATTGCAAAAACTGGGAAAGAAATAGAATGGAAAGAGTAAAAAAGTTGAAGAGGCAGAGCCTGAAGAATTTGTGGTAGAGAAAGTGCTGGACCGGCGTGTAGTGAATGGGAAGGTGGAGTATTTCCTCAAGTGGAAGGGGTTCACAGATGTTGATAATACTTGGGAACCAGAAGAAAATTTAGATTATCCAGAATTAATTGAAGCATTTCTTAATTCTCAAAAATCTGGTAAAGAAAAAGATGGTACAAAAAGGAAATCTTTATCTGACAGTGACTCTGATGATAGCAAATCGAAGAAGAAGAGAGATGCTGCTGACAAACCAAGGGGTTTTGCCAGAGGTCTTGATCCTGAACAAATAATTGGTGCCACAGACAGCAGTGGAGAATTAATGTTTCTCATGAAATGGAAGGACTCAGATGAGGCAGACTTGGTGCTGGCAAAGGAGGCAAATATGAAGTGTCCTCAGATTGTCATTGCCTTTTATGAGGAGACGCTGACTTGGCATTCTTGTCCAGAAGATGAGGTGCAATAATTGTTTGCATATATATCTGGATCTTAGGTTTTGAATTACTAGAGTAAAAAAAATGAGTTTTGATGAAAATTGAGTTTGATATGCTGGTTTTGAAAGTATTGACAGTAGTTGGGATATTTTTGGTTTTTATTTGCATCAAAAAGCACTGATTCCTTTGAGCAAATAAAACTCAAAACCATAGATGAAAATGTGTTGATGAGGTTCCATCATTGTGAACATTTTCCTGAAACCATAACCTTACAAGTAGGTGATTCTATAATTTATCGGATAGTTTTACAGCAAGCACATCAGAATTTATTAAACAATGGTTTATTTACAAAATTTTGTCGTTACAAACTCCCCCCTTCAGAGATTGGATTTAGACAGTTTTAATAACAATACTTAAGCTGGGTGTGGTTGTTTGTGCCTTTAATCCCAGCACTCTGAAGGCAGAGGGAACTCTGACTAGGTCAGCCTGGACTACATAGAGAAATCCCTAGCTCTAAAAACCAAACAAAAAGAATTAAGTGGGCATGTAAAGGTTCCTGTAGTGAACCATTCCTTTGTAGAAAGTTGAAATCTCCTAAAAGGTTATGATTCGTGGACTTTCTTTTTGCTTTGGAAATGGAATACAGTTAAAGAAGATGTTGGCAATTTCAGACCCATTGACATAAATGAACAAAATTTGGTAATATAAATTAATGACTTGCATGCTTTTTCTTTACCCTGACTCATTCCTTACTCGTAGGATCCATCTTTTCAGTATTTGGTTCTGGTTCAATGAGCCAGAAAAGTGACTTTGTAGTATCAGAATGTCATCCAACTGTATATTTACTTTATTGTAAATAATGGTGAACAGTGGTCAATAAATAGTTTTATATTCCTTAAAAAAAAAAGAACACATCCAACAACAGGAAAACCAATATGTCACCACCAGAGTCTAGGGACACTACACCTGCAAGACATGAACATTCCAACACAGAAGAAGCAGAAGAGAGCAACCTTAAAAACAACTTCATGCAGATGATAGAGACCCTAAGAGAGGAGATCAGAAAATCCTTCAGAGAAATGGAAGAAAAGACAAACCAAAAGATGCAAGAAATCAAGGAAAGCCAAGAAAATACAATTAAACAGCTGAAGGAAACAGTTAAGTATCTGAAAACTGAAAAAGAGACAATAAAGGAAAACACAAACTGGGAATGCTGGAAGTGGAAAAGCTGAGTAAACAATCAGGAACCACAGATTCAAGCATAATCAACATAATAGAAGACATGGAAGACAGAATCTCAGATGCTGAAGATAGACTAGAGGAAATAAATTCATCAAGCAAAGAAAATCTTAAGTCCAACAAATCCTTAACACAAAATATCCAGGAAAAATGGGACACCATAAAAAGACCAAACCTAAGGATAATAGGTATAGAAGAAACCCACCTCAAAGGTGCAGAAAACATATTCGACAAAATCATAGAAGAAAACTTTCCCAACCTAAAGAAAGACATGCCAGTGAAAGTACAAGAAGCCTACAGAACACCAAATAGAGTGGACCACAAAAGAAAGTCCCCTTGTCACATAATAATTAAAACACCAAATGTACAGAATAAAGAAGGAATATTAACAGCAGCAAAGGAAAAAGGCCAAGTAACATATAAAGGCAAACCTATCAGAATTACACCGGACTTCTCCATGGAAACTCTGAAAGCCAGAAGGACCTGGATAGATATTCTACCAACTCTGAGAGAACATGGATGCCAGCCCAGACTACTATACCCAGCAAAGCTGTCAATAACCATAAATGGAGAAAAAAAGATATTCCATGACAAAACCAGATTTAAACAATATGTAACTACTAATCCAGCCCTACAGAAAGTACTGGAAGGAAAACTCCAACCTACGGAAATTAACTACACTCACAAAAACATAGGCAATAGATAATCCCACTTTACAAAAAAACAAAAGAAAAAGCAGGGTAAATTCACATACAATACCACTACCAACAACAAACAAGAATAGACTCTAAGTGGACCTTAATTTCTCTCAATATTAATGGTCTTAACTTGCCTATAAAAAGGCACAGGCTAACAGATTGGAAACGAAGACAGAATCCATCCTGCTGCATACAAGAAACACATCTTGAATTCAAAGACAGACATTACCTCAGAGTAAAGGGTTGGGATAAGAGATTCCAATCAAATGGACCCAAGAAATGAGCTGGGGTAGATATCCTAATATCTAACAAGTTAGACTTCAAACTAAAATCAATCAAAAGAGATGAAGAAGGTCATTTCATATTCATCACAGGAAAAATCCATCAGGAAGAAGTCTCAATTCTAAACATCTATGCCCCAAATTCAAAGATACCAACATTTGTAAAAAGAAACATTATTAAAACTCAAATCATAAATAAGACCTCACACACTTATAGTGGGAGACTACAACATCCCACTCTCACCACTGGACAGGACCACCAGACAGCAATTTAACAAAGAGATAAAGGAACTAACTGAAGTTATGACCCTATTGGGATTAACAGACATCTATAGAACTTTTCATCCAAACACAAAAGAATACACCTTCTTTTCAGCATCACATGGAACCTTCTCAAAAATCGACCACATGCTCAGCAACATAGCAAACCTCAAAGGTACAAAAAATTGGAATAATCCCCCGTGTCTTATCATCCTTTAAAGTTAGAATTCAAAAACAATACAAATTGCAGAAAACTTAGCAACTCATGGAAATTGAACAATATGCAATTGCACCATTCCTGGGTCAAGGAAGAAATAAAGAAATTAAAGACTTCTAGAATTCAATGAAAATGAAGACACAACATACCCAAACTTATGGGATACTTTGAAAGCAGTCCTAAGAGGAAAGTTCATAGCTCTAAGTGCTTATATGAAGAAACTAGAGAATAGTCACACCAGAGAGTTGACGTCACACCTGAAAGCTTAGAACAAATGGAAGCAAATTCACCCCTGAGGAGTAGATGCTAGGAAATAATCAAACTGAGGGCAGAAATCAATAAAGTCGAAACAAAGAAAAAAATTCAAAGAATCAATGTAACAAAGAGTCGGTTCTTCAAGAAAATCAACAAGATAGACAAACCTTTATACAAACTAAAAGGCAGAGAGAGAACATGCAAATTAACAAAATCAGAAATGAAAAGGGGGACATAACAAAGGACACTGAGCAAATCCAGAGAATCTTCAGGTCATACTTTGAAAACCTGTACTCCACAAAATTTGAAAATTTAAAGGAAATGGACAATTATCTGGACAGAATCACTTACCAAAATTGAATCAAGAACAGATAAGCAGCTTAAACAGATCTATAACCGCTAAGGACTTAGAAGCAGTCATCAAAAAAGTCTCCCAACCAAAATCAGCCCAGGGCCAGAAGGCTTCAGTGCAGAATTCTACCAGAAATTCAAAGAAGAGCTAGTACTAATACTCCTCAAATTGTTACACACAATAGAAGCAGAAGGTTCATTGCCAAACTTTTTATGAGGCTACAATTACCTTGATATCCAAGCCACACAAAGACACAACTAAGAAAGAGAACTGCAGACCAATATCCCTCATGAACGTAGATGCAAAAATACTCCATAAAATACTGGCAAACTGAATCCAAGAACATTTCAGAAAAACTATCCATCATGATCAAGTAGGCTTCATTCCTGGGATGCAGGGTTGGTTCAACATTTGAAAATCTGTCAATGTAATCCACCATATAAACCAACTGAAGAA